ATTTGTTACAAGTATTTTACCTGAGTATGTACTGCAATGGTATTTTATTATCGCGGGGAAGTGTCCTATTGGTTGTATGGTCTGTCCCGAGAATGATTTTAGAATTAAGTTAGTTTTATCGTGAGGAATAAGCTGGAAAATTCCGATGACGGATACCGCTGAGCCAGTGTCAATTTCCATTTCCAGTGGTATATTATTTATCTTTATGGTTACCAGAAATGGGTGGTTCTTGCTGTTGTCTGATTCATCACATTTATGAGTCTGTACTATTTATTTCTCCCCTTTTTATACTTTGGTGGTACCAGGCTAGATGATTGGTAAGATTTTGTGGGGAAACTGTTGTATGTTTGTCTAAATGGGCAATCGATTTGGTAATGTCCACGGTTACCCCACTTGACAGGTGGAATTTTTATTACGCTGAACATTTCGGTGGGGTGGGTATTGCGCATTGTTATACCTTATGGGTATATTGTTATGGCTATAGTGGGTTTGGTTACAAGGATTGCTTAAATTAAGTGATCAGGTATTTCCCATGTTTGGGCTATTTTTAATTTTCCCTTAAAAATTAAATTATCCGATGTAATCACTCGGCTTCGTATTTTGGATGATTGGATTCCGGCTCCGAATTGGGATGAATGGAAAAGATCCCAGCTGAGGCCTAGGTTGCGTAGCTAACGCAATTAAAGCATCCGCATATTAGGTAATGGTTTCAACATCCTGTTGGGTACGATGGCGAAGTTTGTCAATTGACAGCCCCTGGTTATTATTATTGCTGCCAAGAATCATCTTTATATCCTGCATTGATAGCTCAGCCATGGATTTTGGAGCAAAGGTCATTTTTATCTTTTTATATAAAATGTGACCACAAGATGATAAGAATAAGGATAATTGATTTTGGTCAGTCTGGTTTCGGTGGATGAGCATAAAACGTTCGAGGCAATGATCTGTTGCCTCCTCTTGGTCGTAGATTATAGAATGCACGTTAGGCGCCAGTGAAATGGTTGGAGCCACGATCATTGGCTCTTCAACCATCGGGGAAGGGGATGGATCGACGGAGTATGATGGTCCGGGACTGTCGGAGATTGGGACTGGGGGACTGGACTTAGTGGGCATATGGTCATCGTATCCAACTCCCGTCGCGGGTAGGCCAGAAAGAAGAAAACATCATTTTATTAAACATACTGGTTATAGATAAAACCGAATTTTATTAGGTTAAAAACAAAACGGTGGTCGCCGTAAAACGAAAAACTACAAACGAAGTAAAATTTCACGAAATAAAAAAATCAAAATACAAACTAAGAAAAAGAATCATAATTCTTTAGAACAAAAAAAATATGGACCATGATATATATTTTTTTGTTCTTATATACTACAGGTTTTATTTACCAAAAAAAATCCATCTAAGTATTTTTATAAAGATTAATAATGTATTGGCCATCATTAAAACTGACTAGTACCAGTTTATGAATATCATATAAAAACAATCTCTGTTTATAATTACAATCGTGTAAAACAAAGAGAATAATATAGTTGTAAGTAAAAAAAATATAACAAGTTATTTATAATTTACCAACGAAGTAAAGCATAATAAAATAAACACAACACATTTAAATTTAGTGTTGTTAATCGGCTTAACCGAGTCGGCTCGAACAGAGGTGACCCAATTTTTGGGTCATTTTTTTCGACCTCGACCCGAGTTCAAGCCGAAAAAACGACCTCGACCCAAAATAAGAGTCGTTTTTTTCGACCCCCACCCGAGTCCAAGCCGAAAAAAACGACCTCGACCCAAAATATGGGTCGTTTTTATCGACTCAGACTTGAAGTTTGGGTCGTTTTTTTCGACTCAGACTTGAAGCTTGGTTGTTTTTTTAATCTCAGACTTGAAGTTTTTTTTTAGGCCAATGTGTAAAAATATATTTTGCAAACATGTTAAATTAAAATTTCAGTGAAGATGTACCATAGGAAAGTGACAATTATCATAATCGTCATTTTTTAACTTTTTCGAATTTTTTTTAGACAAATGGGTAAAAATATATTCTGAAACATGTTAAATTAAAATGTCGTGAAGATGTACCATAGGAAAGTGACAATTGTCATAATCGTCATTTTTGAACTTTTTTCAATTTAATTAAAGCAGATAGATAAAAATATATACTGTAAACTTGTTAAATCAATTTTTCAGTGATGAAAAACTTTGGAAAAACTAAAATAGCCATGTTGATAATTTTTTTGGAATATTTTGAAGAAAATAAAAAAAATTTCGAATTATTGTAAAAACTGGTTAATAAGACGCTACTTTATTGAAAAAATAGCGGAAACTATAATAAAAACAGGTTTTGAAATACTAATTATAAATAAAATCATTTCCAAAAATAAATAAGTATTTATATAAGATAGTTTGCCACCATGAATCTTTTTCTCAGGTTCTTCTACACTAAAATATTAATATAACTTGTTTTACAAATAAGATTTTTCCTATTTGATTAAATAAAGTTTAAAAATAATTATGACTTTTATCACTTTTCTATGGCTTTTATTGAAATTTAAATTAACTAGTTTATAATTTATATTTTAACCATTTTCTTCAAAATATTCCAAAAAAATTATCAACATTGATATTTTAATTTTTACAAGGTTTTTCATCAGAAAAATTGATTTAACAAGTTTACAGTATATATTTTTATCTATCTGCTTCAATTAAATTGGAAAAAGTTCAAAAATGACGATTATGACAATTGTCACTTTCCTATGGTACATCTTCAATGAAATTTTAATTTAACATGTTTACAAAATATATTTTTACCCATTTGCCTTAAAAAATTCAAAAAAGTTCAAAAATGACGATTATGACAATTGTCACTTTCCTATGATATATCTTCAATGAAATTTTAATTTAACATTTTTGCAAAATATATTTTTACATATTTGCCTTAAAAAATAAACTTCAAGTCTGAGTCGAAAAAAACGACCCATATTTTGGGTCGAGATCGTTTTTTTCGGCTTGGACTCGGGTCGAAATCGAAAAAAACGACCCGAACTTTGGGTCGATGTCGCGACTCGCGGCGTTTTAACAACACTACAATACCAATGTCGAGTATATGAAAGGTTGCATTGCAGTGTCAAAGTTAGGCATAAAAAATGATATTTTAATTTTAACATCTAGATTTTGGAATATATCATAATAATTCTCTTATAAAATAGAAACAAATAGAATATTATTTTAAAATTGTATTGTATTATTTTAATTATAATGATAAAATTATTATTATGGTAAATTATAAATTTAGTAAAATAAATTTAAAAAAACCTTTTTCTGGTACTTTTATTAAATTTTACAAGTCTTTTTTTTCTAAACTGCAAACTCTGAATCCGTACCGTAGAGATATTTCACTGAATCAGAATTATTTTTTAAGAAGGGTTTATTTTTAGAATATTAAATATTCTCGCCATATAGAGATAAACTTTACAACAAACTAACAAGTATATTAATTTCTTAACATTTATTTTCTGAATTATAATTAAAATTTAACTAAAATACTTAATATATTCATTTTTACCTATTTCTATGAACAAAAAATTGAAACGGTTATACAAATAGGCCATTTTCCCGAAATACATTAAATTTATACTAAAACATATTTAGAAAATTAATTTTAATTCATTTTATCAATGAAAATATTTTAAAATAACGATGATAATAATTGCCATAATAATATAAGATCAAATTTTTAAAATAATTTATCATTAGATTTTTGCCGATTCGGCGTACTTAACATTGTGATAATAAATAATCATTCCATTGGAGCTGAAAGATATTGCAGTATTTTATTTTAAAAACATTACCTTAATAGGAAGGATAATAAAGCATTCATAATGTATCTCGACTTTCTTAATATTATTTGAAACCTCTAATTCAATGTAATTTGTATTATTAATCTCAGCAACATTTGTTCACCAAAAGAAAAATAATCATCATTTTCTTTATTAGATGCTAAATCTATTGGTGTTATAGTTTGAGCTTAATTATATACTCTGGTACAACATTCACGGTTTCTTTTAATAATATATTTTGGAAGTATATTTTTAATCACCCTCAATCCATAAGTTTTAAATGCCAATATAATCCTCAATTATATTCATATCATAGAAAAATATTTTCTCAAAATTTTTTGTCTGGGCAGCTTTTAATAAAGGTAGACAATATTCTAAACTTGAATTTTTAAGATAACCTATGTCCTTTTAACCACATATAAATAATATACTTTAATATGTTAACATAATTTGTATTGAACCCTTTATCATTTATTGTTTATACAGATTTTACATTTATCCTTACATTTTTTTTAAACTTTTATTTAAAAAAAATTCCCATTTAAAATTTTGGATTTGATTCAGGGGAACTAATTTTAATAATTTATTTTTCACTACCATCTTCTTCACTACCATGAATGTTAATCATTCCACAAATTAAATATATATAAAATTGGTAATGATTAGGGGTGTATCGGATATCAGTTTTTAAAGGCCGATCCGACCCTATATTAAATTGATATCGGCCGATTACCGATCCGATATCATATCTAATTTTGTATTCTGAAAGATACAAATGGTTTAAATTTGTAATATACTTTATTAGTATAACATCTATAATTTAATTTTATAACTTATGTTATTTAAATTTATTATAATTATCAGTTATAGTTTATATTCAATTCTATTGCAATTCTAAAAGTATATAAAATATTTTTATTGTTAAATCATTTTTATATAACAAAAAGATCTTGTATCTTAGATACAAGTATTCGCGGTACTGCCCAACTCTAATCCAGCCTTAGTCTTAGCCAAGAAAAATAGTTTCAGGATTAGCCAAAAAATTCGCGAAGGCACAGGCTTAGCCATAAAAAATCTGCTAAACCAATACCCATCTATGTAAATTTATAAAAAGATATTTGGTAAAATATATCATTGAAAGTAAAATAAATAATAGTAGCATTTCTTACGTATTCTTTCAAGTTTTTGGTTTTAACAGCCTTGTATGAAGCATAAGCGGGGTAAAGGGTACCGAAAAGTAATCTAGAAGGTGCATTAAAAATAAACTTTAAAAATATTTAAAAATGAAACATTCTTCATCAATTAATAAAACATCGAAATAGATAAAGTTAAAAAAAAAATATCAACAAATTTGAAATTATAATTTTTTAAAATAGTAAATTAATAATTCGAGGTGGCTACGGCTAGACGGCGCTGCCGACTCACATGGCCACGTGCATATTTGTCATTCGCCACACGTTGCCAAGCTATACAGTAATATTACTATAGCTTCGTCTAAGGCTGTGTCGACCCACTTTCGATGCCGATATTTGTATTAATTTTTTACGATCCATTTTTGAACCAAATGTTAATAAAAAAATCCATATTTTCGATGCAAAAAATTGAATTGTGGATTTTATTTTATAAATGGTTTCGGGTGCCTATTTTTAAAAATAAATTTGTTTCTGACTGGGTTGGGCCTAGAGGGCTGTAATGGAGGGTCTAGCCCAGATGTCCGCCCGTCGAATGTTTTAAAAATTTAACCCGTATATAGTTTTAAAAAATAAATACCCGCCCGCCCATTAGTCTAAAATTCTTTACTTTATTAGTCAAAACATTTTACGCGCCCGCTTTAAAAAAAATCTTTAACCCACATCCACCTATATAAATTTTAATGCCTATTCTTTTAAACCGCTGGGATATTAAATTTTTTACCCTGCATGCCCATAGTTTAAAATTTTTAAACCACCCGCCGGTCCATTTTTCAAAAATTCAGTCTACCGCCCACTTAGATGGGGGGGGGGAGGGGCGTTGGCTGGCGGACAGACCTTTAGGTGAGCATATATTTTAAAAAAAATTCGGATCATATGTAAAATATTTGAAGTAAAAATTTAAAAATAAAAATCTATTATTTTTAATATATAAAACTATATTAAAACAACATGAAAAAATACAAAAATAAGAAATATATATTAAAAAAATATATAAGAGGGGGAGCAAAAAAGGCTCTCATTGATATTCGAGGAAACTTAGATAGTTGCCTCAGAACATAGCGAATTGAGTTAATTGTTTTGTAACATTTTAAAATAGGATCCCTGATCACTAGTGTGGTAAAAATGCTTGGTTGGGTCAAATTAGCATGATTTTTGGTTGGGTTTTTGGTCGAAAAAATGAACCAAAACCAAAGCAACCAAATTGGTTGACCAAATCCATAGACCCGAGCACCGACCCGATTTATTTTATTTATATTTTATTATTATCACATCAATATTTATCAACAAAAAAACATGATATTATTTTTATTATTTATATTATTTATATATATTATATTATGAAATGAAATTTATATTATATTATGAGAATGGTTTGATGTTTTTTAATAAAAAAAAATGATATGCTGCTAAATTGTAATATCATTTTAACAATAAATTTGTGATTTTCACGCCCAAAATTTTAAAATATAATCATAGTTCATTTGATAAGAATTTTAAATCTTTTTAGAAATAAATCTTTTGTGAATTTCAATATAAATAAACAATCTTTTAGGTGAATGAAATCTTTTATATTTTTTTAAAATCGTTTTCTGAAATTATTTTTTAAGTATATTAAAAGAAGTGGTAATTTCTAAATAATTTATTTTTAAATATTTATATCAAACTTTTTTATGTTATTTATAAGATCATTTTAAGGATAATATTTTAATGTGATAATTGTCATAATATTCGTTATTTTTTAACAATTTTGAAATTTTTTGGCATAAAAGGCTAAAAATAAAATTTATATTATATCTGTATTTTTAAGATATTAGTTTTTTTTTGAAGTTAATGGGCAAAATTAATTGTAAACATGTTTAATCAGTAAGATGTACCCTAGAAAATTGACAATTGTCATAATCGTTATTTTTAAGGTTAATAGAATTTTTTTTTGACGCAAATTGGCAAAAATAAATGTAGCAAGCATGTTTAAATAAAATTTCAGGAAAGATGTACACTAAATAAGTGACAAGTGTCATAATCTTTAATTTTAAAATTTTTTGAGAGTACCGACCAGATCATCGACCCTAGCACCAACTTATATTATTTTATTGCGAACTGAATCTGAATATTTTGCATAGAGGACGAATATTTCAATATTAACATAGAAGTATTTATATTTATTATTTAATATTAGATTCCTTTTATAAAAATGGTTCCTTTCATCGACCCGAGCATGAACCGGAGCATCTACTTCAAACCATATTATATTATTGTGAATATTTTGCCCAATCATATTTTTATGCATAGAGGACGAAATATTAACAGAAAAATAATCATATATTTACTGTTGTTAATTTGCTGGATCGAAACAGCTTATTTAAAATAAATTAAAATATTTTTAGACTCAGAGGTAAAGGAGGTTGTTAGTAGTGCCTGCAAATAGGTATAACTGAGATAGCGTTTTAATAAATTGCAATGGGCTCAGGCCAAAAAAAAAATTGAATTTGCAGAGCTCCCTTGGGTAGAGTAAACATTTTTTTTAATTCAGTTAGTATAAGTTGGTGCTCGGGTCGATGATCTGGTCGGTACTCTCAAAAAAATATAAAATTAAAGATTATGACACTTGTCACTTATTTATACATTTCCCTGAAATTTTATTTAAACATGCTTGCTACATTTACTTTTGCCAATTTGCGTCAAAAAACTTTAAAAAAACGATTATGACAATTATCACTTAACCAGGGTACATATTAACTGAAGTTTTATTTAAATATGTTTGCAATATTAATTGTTTCCAATTTGCGACAAAAAAATTCAATAAACTTTAAAATTAATGATTATGACAATTGTCACTTATCTAAAATACATCTTCCCTGAAATTTTATTTAAACATGCTTGCTACATTTATTTTTGTCAATTTGCGTCAAAAAAATTCTATTAACCTTAATAGGAACGATTATGATAATTGTCAATTTTCTAGGGTACACATCTTACTGATTAAACATGTTTACAATTAATTTTGCCCATTAACGTCAAAAAATCTAATATCTTAAAAATACAGATATAATTATCATTTATTCAAGGAACATCTTCATTTAATTTATAATTTATTATCTTTATAATATAAATTTTATTTTTACCCTTTTGTCCCAAAAAAATTCAAAAATGTTAAAAAATAACGAATATTATGACAATTATCACATTAAATATTATACTTAAAAAGATCTTATAAATAACATAAAAAAGTTTGATATAAATATTTAAAAATAAATTATTTTGAAATTACCACTTTTTTTAATATACTTAAAAAATAATTTCAGAAAAACGATTTTAAAAAAACTATAAAAGATTTCATTCACATAAAAGATTGTTTATTAATATTAAAATTCACAAAAGAATTTCTCAAAAAAGATTTAAAATTCTTATCAAATGAACTATGATTATATTTTAAAATTTTGGGCGTGAAAATCGCAAATTTATTGTTAAAATGATATTACATTTGACGACTTTGAATTTTACATAAAATGTCAAAATTTATATAGCATTACTCAAGATTCTTAAAATATATACCCACACACATTTGCACCCCATCCAAATAACTTACAATTTCCAAATTCTATCTGACAATACAATCAAACCCACTCACATTTTAAATCAATTCAAAAAACCTACCACCCAGCCTCTCTTTTCAATCCACACAATTTAGACTCAAGGATTGCCTTCTTTTTTTTTCATACACATCAGAAGTTACCTTATATATCTTACTTTCTTATTTTCTTCAATTATTTTTAAAACTTATTCATTAACACATTCATACATAATAAATTTATATATTAGTTTTTTTAAATAACTTTTAACCTTAAATTAGTTTAAAATACATCAATAAATTTACATATAGATTTTATATTATTTAACATTTAAATTAATTTAACACTTATTATATTATATATTAATAAATTTCCATCTTAATATCCCCATTAATTTAAATAATTCTTCTTCTCCCTTTCATAAACATACCCAAAAATAATTCCTCCCCCCCCCCTTTTATATATATTCCCCAGTCTTTCAATTTTCTATTTACTTTAACCATTAAATTTATTAAAACAAATAACCAACCTCTATCAAACACTAACCAACCCCAACAACCTTTATGCCCATTCTTTCCTTTCATATTTAAAAACCTTATCTTTACAACATCATTATTCTCTGTAGATTATTTCTTCTTACTCTCTGTATTCACATCCTCTCCTTATCCACATAATGGTACACTGTCCTGCATGCTCTAAAAACATAAAAATCACCAAACCCGGCCTCTTCGCCAAACACAAAACCAATGGCATCGTTTGTCCTGATTCCGGGAAGCGTCCTTCTCCTCCCTTCCTAAATCCCCTTTCCATTTTTTTCTACTCACAGCCATTCTTCCACCTCATCCAAAAACGCCCACACACCAACCACATTTATTCCCCTCCAACCTACCACCCATGGCGACATCATCTACTTCATAAAATCCGACAAACCTTCCATTATCTCTAGAATTCCTAAAGGCTCCAGAGTACAAGTAGCCAAAGCCCTCTCTACGTGCCTTTAATCATTATTAAATAACTTATCCTCTCTTGATCATTGGCTCAAACTCTTCACATTTTCCTTCACGACTCTCGAACCTCCCAATCCAGAGATTCAGAAATCTTTAACCCAACAAATCAAAGACGCAACCCTACATCCCCTCACCCTCACAAAATCTTCTCATGAACCCTAAAAACTCTCCAGCCTACAATTAAAGGCAAAGTTAATTTCCAACAAAATTAACAACTTAAACATCAAATCCGCTCTTCGCTTAGTAGCATCTGATGATTCATTTGCCACTAGCAACAAATACCTCCACCTCCTCCCAATATTTTTCCTTCTGATTTCACCCCCGCCGAGGTGCGTAAATCTATTCTATCCTTCCATCATGACTCTTCTCCCGGTTATGATGGGCTTCGTCCCATCTTTCTCCAGGATCTCACATCCCCCCTCATAGTCAGCCAGGTCCTAATTTTACAAAATTTAACAACATTTTGTAACAAA